GCTACACCTATTGCAGCAGCTTCTGGGAAACCATTCGAAGGCTACAGCAGGCACGCAATGTATTTTCTGGGGCATCAAAGACCAAAATGGAGAGTTGGTGGCTGCCGAAGCAGAAATACAGTGGGTTTTTCTTTATCGGGACATCGTTTAATGGGGCAGCCGGGACATTTTGTCAGAAACGGAATCATTTCTATGCAAGTGTATTACAATTTCGCCGCATATTCGGGACGAAAATCCGCTTCATTGGGACAAGGTCGGGGTGGGGGTTGGGGGGCAGCCGTCGGTCTGAGATGGGTTTTCCTGTTTCTTCTGCGGATTTGAGTTATTAGTTCGGGTTGGGTTTTTCCTTTTTTTCCTGGGGATTTTAGGCAGTAGCCCTGGGTGGGATTTTCCATTTTTGGTGGATTTAAGCCGTCTGTTCGGGATTAGAGTCCACATCAGTGTTCAAGATGTCGAAGCGCAAGGATTTGTCCCTCTGCGAGAAGATCGTGCTCCTGGACAAGGTTAAATTGCACGTTGAAATAACGTTGAAAAACATACGACTCGAATTCCTGCCCCCGAACGCAACGTCGATCATCCAGCCGATGGACCAGGGTGTCATCAAGAATCTGGAGACTCATTTTATTAATAGAAAGGAACTTGTGACTCTTGCAGCTATCGAAGACAACCTGATGAGCCCGTCTTCCGTGGCCATCGACGTGAGTTCTCAGGTCTTGCTCCTCGACGTTGTTCGCTTTGTGGCTGTCAAGTCAGAGACCATCACAAACTGCTTCCGTAGGGCTGGCTTTCATTCTGGACCAGAGGTACCTTTGAGGAAGGTTCGGTCATCCTTGATGTCACAAACAGAGAAGCCTAAGTCAGCATCGACGAACACGCACCATGCTTCGCCGAATGCGATGACTTCGAAGCCGATACAGTCGAGGAAATTTTTGCCAAAAGGCCTGGCTTGGGGGATGACGCAGACGAGGAGCCTGAGACTTTACCAAAGGTGGCTCACATTGAGACCAGGCGCTCAATGGACATTCTTCAGCGCTACTTTATTGAGCAAGGATTGGGCAATACAGCACATGGTGCTCTTGACACTTGTGCCGGAGAAGTCTTTGACTTTCGGACATGAAACAAGGAACTATGGACAAATTCCTTGAAACATAACTCTTTTTTTTCGCAAATAAAGGACATTCGTGTCTGGGTACCTCATAATAATTTACCTGATAGGTAACTTCGCTTTAGTGGGACAGCCGCTTAATTGGGGCAAAACGACCTGGAACCAACGTGTCCCAATAAAGCGGAATCCATTATAATTGGAAGTGAAGTTTCGAAGAGTTCTAAGCCCTAGGCAGTTGACTTAGAGCCTTCCTGCGTGCTGAGTTGCTTCGTCATTAAGAAAGTTCTGTTAATTAATAATAGCCTGAAGCAGCGGTTCTGAGACTTTGTGCCGCGAGAAGTGGGCCAGGATGCCGTGGGTGTTGAGAGAAGTTTCCTTTATGGCCTTCAATAAAGTAGTTCAAGGGGAGAAGTCTATATTGCTACTTAACCGGTGTATTCGAGAAGCACTTAACGGAGCAGGCGGGAAACATCTTCTGATGACCTGCATCTTAAATGCGACACTTCCTGACCTTTAGACTCCTCTCTTCATAGTGTACACCACGAGAATGCAATACGAGTCTATTTTTTGTTCATAATTGACTCATATTACGTATTCCTGGTATACTGTACACTTTAATCAAAATCAATGAGGAATGTCAATATCAATATTAGTGCTGCAATAAAGACACAGATTGCTTTTTGTTACCAGATACCTTCGCCTTATCTTACTCTGGGTATTAAAAAAAAAGTTCAGATCCGTCTAAGCATTACAAGTGAGCTGCAAGAGGTCACTTTAAAGTTCAAGCCGCTTCTTGATTTTCTGGGCAACCGAAGGCAGGCGCAGGTATTGCGTTGGAGTCAACTTTTTTTGCCGAGTTTGAATACTTTTTTGATTATGCCAAGTGACAGTTCAAAATAAACCTGTCATGAATGAATTCAGAGGTCCTTGTTAGGCTTATATCATTGTGCACGGAGGTTCGTGGATGTGCAGGGGTGCTGCCGTCTGAAAAGGGCGCCATCGCGAAGAAAAGATTGAGAACCGCTGGCTTCGAGGGAATTCTCTTGGGCTGGATGAAATCCGGGGCAGTGACCGTAATCGAAATCGATGAGTGCTCGGGGATGTATACGATGGATCTGTCAAACCGCATGGGAGTGGGCTATAGATTGATGAACCACTGGTATTTTTTCTTTTTAATAAGGGGGACTCGAGAGCTTACCGATTACAGTGGAATCATTATCCTCGGCATACCTGCCAAAGGTTCGAAAACACTTCAAGGTGCTCCGGCCAGCAGCCATCAGAAATAATCACATTTAGACAAAGGGGGGCGACTTTTCTCAGACGAGTGGACCGGGAGTTAACGATTTTGTTCTCAAAAAAGAGAATAAAATAGCTACTTTCTAGTCAAAATCGAACCTTTTTTTTGGAGTGCGGAAAGAATAATCCCCCTCCCCCCTCTCTGTCTCTGGTCCTCAAGTACCAACGATATGGAAACGAGATCGACGATGCGTCTCCGGAGCAGTTGCGGAAATTTCCCAGGAGAAACGCTCAATTTTCATCTCAGAGTGTTTTTTTTTGTTTGTTTACCCTATCTTTAACTTCGGGTATTGAGCGAAAAAAAAATTAGATCGCCCATACGAGCCGTATCGATGAGGTTCTTACACTGAAAACTTTCAGTGTCAAATGACACAAAAGGTGTGTCTGGCCATCGCCTGGGTGACTCGAAATAATGCCGTGAGTCTTGACATGCTTAAGTGTATTGCGAGTAACACAAGCCGAAGTGTGTCGAATGACCCACGAACAAGTTTTAGCAGATGGACATGTGTCAACTGACACACGTGCAAAATGTGGAGCTACAGAAAGTGTCATACGACACACTCACGACACGTTTTTCAGGACCAATAGAATAAATTCTTTCGGGACCTCATATAAGAGTGTCAAATGACACATTATGACTTGTCATTTAGCTCATAATGGAATGCAGAGTATCAGAATCTGCGAGAGCAATCAAATGGAGCAGGCACTTAAGATCGAGATACCCGATGATTTTGACAAGTTTACTGCATGCCTCCCCATTTCCGGAGAGGCTCCCATAAATAATTTTTTAAAGTGCAGAATGACAAGACCAGTCGGTAGATCTTGTGGACATAATCCTTCAAAGGTGGAAGAACCATGCTGACGAGCTTTGTCACTCGAGGCTCTGCATCCAACTCCTCTCGACGTCCGTGGCAGAGAATCGGGAAGATCGGAACGGCCTACAGTAAACTCAAAGAACGAATGCAGAGGAGTGGGCAGAAACTCAATGGATGAAAACATGCCAAAAGTTCATTCAACCCCGCATCAGGTCGATCGATTTCCAATGCCTGAAAGCGAATAATGTGAAGGATATGCAGGAACGAGGGATGATAACAGGATTCCTGCCGGAGATGATTAGGCCGAAAGGAGCGTCATCTTCTGCGTCCTTTTGCTCTTCAGAATTTCCCTTTTTAGTTTCGCCGATGCATGTGATACATGGAAGGAGATTCCCTACCGGACCGGGCTTCGTCCCTTTCGGTGTTTCTCACTCTCCGTCTCTCACACCCCAAGAGATATACAAGTAAGGGGGTTTTCGTTTTCTTCTACTTCTGATCAAAGAAGATGCTAGAAGACGTCCCGTCCTTCAAAGCTTGAGCGGCACTCTACAAAGGGCTTATTCAAGCAGAATAATGGTTTCTATCTGAAATGACACTCGTGCTCTCATCCATCGAGTCTAGGGCTTCAGTCTTCATTTTCTATGATTTCGTCGTCTTCACCCAGAAAATACGTGGCAGAGACCTAGAAACAAGCTTGAAAATGGATTTTGCTCGAGGGCAACTTGATTCTGATTTACAGTCATATGCTTCACCCAGCGGCTCCTTGAGAGTCATAAGACCTATTTGCATAGATGAGAAGTCCACGGAAAATCCCTTACCTATGTCAATCCCCCCTCTCCCAATCTTCTCTCCCTAAAGAATGACAACAGGAACGGGATCCATGCGAAGACTCGAATCTTCGCAGAGTCGAGCAGTGGCGGCTCGTGATATTTAGCGCTAGTGGTTCGTCTATGCCTACGGAGAGGGGGTAGGCAGGCGAGGGCGCTGCCTACCCCCTCCTCTCCATAGACAAACCACTAGCGCTAAATATCACGAGCCGCCACTGGAGTCGAGAGCTTACAGTCGGAAATGGAATTACTGGTACCAATACGCCATCTTCTTGTGCTAATTAATTATCCATGAATATGTTCATTCCTGGATTCATGTTCATGCAAGGAGATTCATGTAGCAAATTATTTTTCCTTTACATGGATAACCAGAGTATAACTTGTCTGAACAGAACTACTTCTGGGAATAAGTCTTTGATATACTGCACATCTGGAAGTGTTAGCAGGGCCATATGCATTTGCTGACAGCATTCCTTCTTTTCTACGATCAGCTCCGATGAGGAATGTAATAAAATTGGTGTAATGGTTTTTGCAGTTTGTCGAAACCTTAACAAAATGAAATTGCAAAAAGCAATAGACAACATGCGACATAATGAATGACTTATTGACGTGAAAAAAGGAGAACTTAAGTTACAGAATGTTTCTCACGATAAAGACTGCAGGTGGAAATGTAAGCTTTACCTGTCAGGTGAAGCCATCACATAGCGAAAAAATTAAATCTTACTAACAGGAGTAGAGATTCCTCGAAGTAGGAATATAATACCCGTTAGTTAAGTTTTATCATATTTGAGTGGTTATGGAGGGGGTGTGGAGGCATTGCATTCTTGCAGGATTCTTTTGGGGACAAGTCTGTGACAGAGATTGAATTGAGATCTCATGACGATTCGCGTGCTTTCAACTGTATGCAATCTCTGTCACAGACTTTCCCCCTCTTTTTTGAACTTTTGCATCTCCGCCTCAATATGTACGTCGCCGCAGGACTGCAATCTCCATTGTATCATGAGGAGACTCACCGAGCATTTTGATGACGGTTTTCCTGGAATTGTGAACATAATCCTTTTTGTCGGAAGCCTCCGAAGTCCCATCCGAGGAGTTGAAGGCGGATTGACGAAGTGTGGCGGCAATGAGCACGTAGAGAGCCGAGATGATCCCCATGGGAAGGACAAAAAATATGAAGGTAGACATTTGAAACGAGTAGCGGGAATAGAGGGCCCATTCGGGGAGAATGGAGCAAGCGGAAAGCTCTTCGATCAAGGTGCCATTACTCAATTTGGCATGGACGAGTCCGATGGGAATGATCTGTGGCACGGCGCAGATCGTGGCCAAGAACCAAATCCCGACGATCAACTTGGCGACCCGCGACAATTTGGACATAGTGTGGGACTTGAGTGGGTGACAGATGGCAACGTATCGCTCCACCGTGAACGCCGTGATGGTGAGGATGCTGGCGCACGTGGTTGCCTCGGCTGCGAACCCCCTCACGCGGCAAAACACTGCACCGAACACGTAGGGGTAGCGGTACCACGTCTTATAGAGTTCCTCGGGGAGGCCACAGAGGAGGAAAAGGAGGTCCGAGATGGCCAGACTGAAGAGATAGAAATTAGTCGCAGTCTGCATGTGACGATTCCGGACGATCACCACACACGTGATCACGTTCCCCGCGAGACCCGTGAAACATATGGACACGTAAATGATAGTCATCGGGATGCTGACGTAGAGGGACGCCCGACTATCGCCCCAAAATTCGAACATTGCCTGCAGTTCCAGGCTCAAGTTATCCGTGTCGTTCCAGAAATCCATGTTTTCCAAGTCCTGCAAATGACAGAGTAGATTCGTATTCAGTAAATTGTCATTCCGGCATGGAATAATGATCTCTTCACCGAAAAATCTCTAATAAAATATGAACTTCAAAAATTTTCTGACGCTTGTAATATTTACTCTAAAAAATTGGCTACTCCTTTCACAACTAAATGTAAGAAAATGTGTCAACTAATAAACTTTAAAGTTTACTCTTGCATTCCCAAGACTCAATTCAAGATCTCCTGGACTAATGAGTCTAGAATAATGACGTGAATATTTCAAATAATTAAGCAGTTACCGAACCAATCTTCTTTTTCACCTCTCATTAGAAATACCCCGTACTTATAATGAGAACAAGTGTGCAACAAAGTCGAATTACTGGATATTTATTTCCCTTCCCTTCAACCGTCCTCTGGGAAGGAAAGACAAGGAAAAAATTGTTTGGGATTCCTGCCAGGATGGTTGAATGATCCATCTCGAGGGGGGAGGGGGGGGGGGACCTCTTTCATGAGAATAGGAGACAGCCTGTGCTTATTGTGGCCGGAAGAGCATCATCTCGCCCGGTCATTCGTTCCGTGCCTGAAGGCTCGCGTTTCGCTGATGTGTGAAAGACGCATTGAACGCTGTAATGGATTCCTTTTGCCTCGGAGTTCCTGTTCTCATTGCGTGCCACATCGGGGAGTCGCAGGAGAAAAATTGGTACAAAGGCTCCGCTTAACTCTTATCCAGTTTCCCTCGCGAACGTAGATCTCCCTCGACCGAGCGCTGAGGCTCGTCGGGTTAAGCCAAATAATTGGCAAGAATGTTATTGTTTGGCTTGCTTATAAATCTCGAAACACATAGGAAGTTTCACGATGAAATTGACCATAGACTCGTCAACAGGAAATGTTAAGGCGAGAAGGAAGACACAGACGCTTTCCTCATCACAACGTCTAGAATTCGGAATACGATCGGTTCGAGAAAGCAATATCTATGAAAGATTGAAAATCGATCTGGCGTGTAGCCTCTGCACTCTTGGGTGATAGCAACCCTTGGAGATTTTTCAATTGCCGATGTCACGAGATATTTTTCTCCCTGCGCATTGCAATTGTCGAACTGCAAAGAGGCTTGAATAACTCGAATTAGTCATACCTTCCTTGGTAATTAAAATTAGGGCATCTACAAATGTAAACTTCAATTTTTTGTTTTGTATAACCAGTATATATTGAATACTTTCTCTCACGGCAAAATTGTACATGACTTCCTCACGAAGGTCTTGATGACTTTTCTTCACTTAATTCTCAATGTTTTCCGCAATTGTGAGATGGTGGTATGAGGGGCGCTCAATGAATTTTGACAACACATTTTTTAAGGACTTCACCCAAGGTTTCAATTAGCAGCTGAAGAGTACACCTCAGCCAAAATGCCAACGGATACGTTTGTAAGTCACTGATGAGGATGCAATGTTGCATGGATGCTGAGAGAGATCATACCGAGGGAGTGTGCAGCTATGAATTTTATGCCGATAGGAAAATAAGAATGTGTTGCCAGAACTTAGGACCTGGTGAAGGGTTAGATATTTAATATCCCACCCTTTATTTTTAAACGATAGACCTCCACCATAAGTATATTTGACATGGATGCGGATCATATTGGTCAAGAAGCTGCAGCCCTTCAAAACCTTGAAAATTTTGAGACCATATCCAGCATTTTTTCCATAGCAGTGTAGGAACCGCTTAGCTCTTCATTTTATGGGCACTATTGTACAGTACTTGAGGGAGATGTCCCTCTAATGTGGGATATGGGCTTCCGAGGAATTTCATTTCCTACGAAAATTGTCTGTCCTCATCGACCCCTTATCCTTTGGGAACCATAAACGGTTTGAAAGATAATGAGAGACTTCGTCCTTGAATTCGAAGAAACCTTTAAATTTTCTGATATATTTACGAGGGCCTCTCAAAAAGTTCCAGGACAGGCCTTCGCACGAGAAAACTAAGAACAGAAGGATCGAAATAGTTCTCTTCGCTTGCGATACACTTCTCGTTACGTTTGTAAAGAGCTCGGAACGCTGACTGTAACCAGTTGGTCGCAGCCGACTGGAAAGCACCTGCGTCGTCGAAGCCTTTCAGAAGGAACTTTATCCTGTGAAATGGCGGGGAGTCACAAGTCGCGAGGTCCGGCGAGTAGGGAGGATGTGGGAGCAATATCTCCCCGAGATCGATTAGAAATTTCACGATACTGATTGGTTGCCGGCGGTCACGGCAAACAAGCGCAGAAAGGGCCTGCACGTTTTCCTCATAGCAGATTGTCGATAGCCTTCCACTGCGTTCGTCGTCTTCAATGGATTCCTGACCGCGAAATCGTTTGTGCAACTCGTGCACTCACGAGTTTTAGAGAATCGACAAGCCGTAATGAAGAAACCGTACAGGCCCTTTCTGAGCTTGTTTGCAGTGACCGCCGGCAATCAATCAGTCCCGTGGCAATACCATGGCATTTATAATCAAACTTGGGGTGACATTACTCCCACATGCTCCCTACTCACCGGATTTCGCGTCTTGTGACTTCACGCTTTTTCCGAAAATGAAGTTCCTTCTGTGCATGCCATCGACTGCCAAAGATTAATATTTTTGGGACTTCGGCTGGAATTGTCCTTGGAATAGGAAGTACTTCCGTTTTCTAATTGACTTCATAGGCGTTAAAGGTTGACCGCAGAAACAGGTAGTAATAGCTGTTGGTACTCTAGGCTGGCCGTCCACTCTCCGACGAAACCGGCCGAATGGCATCAATAATCTAGCCTAGAGCTTCGCTTTCTTTTCCTTCGTAGTCTTCTACCTGGTCTCCCACTTTTCTGCCCGGCACTCTGCAATAGTTTCGGGATTCCTGTCGGAGGATTTCTGTGGTAGCTGGGCTAGATGGTCGAGACTTACTCTTCTGTCCATGTATATCCATAACATTACATTCATTCTTGATATGCTGTGCCCAAAGAGCCGTAAATTTCTGAAATTGTTTTATGTATTTCTCATCGCGCGACGGCGAATCCCAGAGAGAATAAAATATCTCGAAAACGTTACAAATGTACTGTACTTCCTACCCCCTCGGAGACATACTGGTGCACTTCTTGCTGGGAGGAGGGAAATCGCCGACATATTTTATCCGGGGAAGGGGAAAGTGGGGGGGGGGGGGGGGGGGGGGGGGGGGGGGGGGGGGGGGGGGGTGGGTGGGGGGGGGGGGGGGGGGGGGGGGGGAGGAAGGGAGGGAGGAAAGAGGTGAAGGGGAGGGGGTCTCGCTAGTGTGGGAAATATCCATTCATACCGCCGGTACCGGAAGGGCGGGCCTTCGCTATGGTGAAATTTCCGTCCAAGAATGCGCGGAGAGAGCCATAATCCTCCTCCGATTCTTCTGCTTAAATATGTAGATTGCATCGTCTGTTAACCCCTCGAGTGATTAAGGCTTCGCTTTCGAGGGATATCGGTGAAACCGTGCCGACATGGATCTCGATATAGAGCGATGATCATCCATTATCCCGAAGAAATATGCATGGGGCAATGCGTGGGAATGGCAAATTGCCAGAGGAACGCCTGCGTTTGCCCCTGACAAATCTGCAGAAGCGACGAGCGAGACGAAAGTGATTGCAATCCTGCAGCGAGGAGAAAGCCAGAATCGGTTTTACTTGTGGGAATTCTTCGCAGACTCGAGAGGTGAGAGCCAACCACAGTGTTAAAGTCGAAGTTAAAGCCTTCTCTTTTTGCCCCAACTCGGTTTTAGAGTTCGTCTTGAAATGAGAAATTATTGCAGAGTTCCCAGATTGGCTAGATAACGCTGGTCGATCGGCCACAATGCGAAATTCATCGCTAAATCGCTCATGCCTCCCGACATATCTTCTCCCATTCACGATCAAACAATCTTGCTTTGCACCCGTGCAGCCATAATCAATGAAGCTCTCAGATATCTTCTCATGCAGGAAATTGGAAGTCTCATACGGAATATTCTGGGGTTTCATTTGTTATGGAAGAAGCGAACCTGAAGCATTTCCCAACACACCGTGAGATTTCCTATCTCAAGCGCCGTACAAACAAGAAGTCTTTTCCTTTCATCAAGTGAAATATGCAAATTAGATGTAGAGTTTTTTTCCGGTTATCAACACTTCGGCTAGCAATAGCAGATTGGAGACTACCTCAACTACTGGAATTTTAATTTTATTTTTAAAGGTTCTCCCAGACATTTTCCCAGCCCTGATTAAAGGAATGAACTTCGACAATAACAACTTTTTTTGCCTTCTGGATCATTAGAGGATGATATTGGTTCAATCAGTAAAATCCTGTAATTGGGTTATCTCTTCTGACTGCGCATCAGAAGAGATTTCAGCCGGACGCAATTGAGATGAACCATCGGGAGCAGGACAATCTAATTTTGTGGGGAAAAAACGAGATTTGGGGTGGACTCGGACGTCGACCGCGTAAAACCTTTTCCTCGTCCTCTCCGGTCGCAGCCTGTCGATTGCAGAATCACGAAAATCCACAACTGAGAGGACTAGTTGAATTGAAAATGTGCATATCCTGAGCTTGGGTCCTTCGTCCGGCATCTTTCGCTTCTTTCTGTACGACATCCGAGACGTTCCATTTAGTGCGACGGGAAACTCCGTTGCTGTCGGTAGCGAGTCCGGATCGGCTTCCAAAGCTGCTTCGCTTTACACGCTCTCGTCTTTTATCGATTTCAAATTCATTTCTCCGTTTCTCCCCCGTGAGAATGGATGAAGATTGTTTAAAGGGAGCAGCCTCCCCTGGCTTGACCGGGTCCACGCATCTCAACATTCCTTCCTTCTTTCTCGTTTGTCCATCGTGGAATTACCCGAGGCTATTTTTTTCTCGAGTCATCACGGAACGGCGAAAGTTGGAGTAGAACGGCACGTAGATGAAGAGACGGGACTCCGATCTGCACGAGAGCATTGCAAGAGGATCGTGTAGGGATTATTATACGTTTACTCGATGTCGAGGGAGAAATTTCCTTGCGTTCGTGATGCG